TTTACAACATTATTATCTGTAATCCAGAGCCTCAGGCAAACTGTGCAGAGTGATGTTTGGTTCACGAACAAATCATTCTTCTGAACTCGTTCTTTTTAGTGATTTCAGCTAAAACCTTCTTTTCTGTTCTACTGAAGAAAAAAGTCACCTACATCTTAGATGGACAGAGGGTGAGTACATTAACAGCAGTTTTCCATTTTTGGGTGAATTATCCATTTAATGCCAGTTTGAAGTACAGCTCTAATGAGGGGATTTGTTAGTGTTTATTTTTAAGCATTGAGATCCTGAAGGATTTAATTCTGGCTCAGGTTCAATAATACACTCAGGTCTTTATTCTCCATGTCCTGTCATCGCTGTATGAGTTTGCTTTTGTGAAACGTCTGTCTGGATGTTTTATTTGTGGCTTAATGTGGGTTTCAGGGTGGGCAGGAGTGAGCTTGACATGTTTGTGTTCCCCTGAATGGGGGAGGTTGAGGCTTCTGGCCGGAGAGGGTGTCTGCACACACTCTCTCACACGCAGGCCGGCGCGTCTTTCTGAGTCCTCTCGAGCTGATGGTGATATCTGTCTTCCTCTCTCTCTTTTATCCAGTCTTCTCCTCTCTTGTGTGAGATGAGGTCTCAAGTGTGCCAATTCCACCCTGAAAATGATATTTACCCTCTTTTATTCTTTTGTCCCCTCTCTTCCTCTGTGTCTCACTTTCAGAGAGTGCTCACTATATTGGGACAGCGAGTATCTATGCACTACAGTGACCCAAAGCCCCGTGCTAATGAAGACTGGCTCTGCAATAAGGTAACATTCATAATGGTCTTTATTTCAGTTTAATTGGTTGTTGAATAAGTGTGCCTTTAAAAGGTTAGTTCATTTAAAAATGAAAATTCTGTCATTATTTACCGCCATGTTGTTCCAAACCCATAAGACTTTTGTTCATCTTCGAAATACAAATTAAGATATTTTTATTGAAACCTGAGAGACTTCTGTCCCTAAACTTTCCAAAAGTTCATAAAGACATTATAAAATATTAATTGAGCAGTTTAATCCGAGTCTTTTGAAGAGACACTTTCAGATTGCATCTGATGATTGAACAAATTTGATTTAGGCTTTTATTCACATATAAACATTAATCAATGCATATTCATAGAGCTCAGCTGTTTATTGTATTTACAAAATTAAATATTACAGTTATATTGATGATGCCATAATAATAGACCAAGTGAAAAAAAGTAATGGTGCAGTTTTTGATGCATTGATCAGCGTTTACATGTGAAAACCAAAGTGATTGTGTCTCTTCAAAAGACTTGGATTAATCTGCTTGATTCATATGCATTACTTTTACGATGTCTTTATAAACTTTTTGAAGCATCAAAGTTTTGATGGAATTGAGTTCAAATGGAGGGACAAGAAAATATCTACATATTTATTGATCTTTATTAAAATATCTTGAATTTTGCTTAAAAGATAAAAAACTTCCCTTTTAGTAAACAAAATGTTCTCTCAATTCTGTCATTATTTACCGCCATGTTGTTCCAAACCCATAAGACTTTTGTTCATCTTCGAAATACAAATTAAGATATTTTTATTGAAACCTGAGAGACTTCTGTCCCTAAACTTTCCAAAAGTTCATAAAGACATTATAAAATATTAATTGAGCAGTTTAATCCGAGTCTTTTGAAGAGACACTTTCAGATTGCATCTGATGATTGAACAAATTTGATTTAGGCTTTTATTCACATATAAACATTAATCAATGCATATTCATAGAGCTCAGCTGTTTATTGTATTTACAAAATTAAATATTACAGTTATATTGATGATGCCATAATAATAGACCAAGTGAAAAAAAGTAATGGTGCAGTTTTTGATGCATTGATCAGCGTTTATATGTGAAAACCAAAGTGATTGTGTCTCTTCAAAAGACTTGGATTAATCTGCTTGATTCATATGCATTACTTTTACGATGTCTTTATAAACTTTTTGAAGCATCAAAGTTTTGATGGAATTGAGTTCAAATGGAGGGACAAGAAAATATCTACATCTTTATTGATCTTTATTAAAATATCATGAATTTTGTTTAAAAGATAAAAAAAACTATGAGTTAGGAGTGACATAAGGGTGAATAAATGATGACAGAATTTTCATTTTGTGTGAACTTTCCCTTTTAGTAAACAAAATGTTCTCTTTTGTTTCTTCCCAAACATCTGTTTTGATTCACAGTGTGGAGTGCAGAACTTCAAACGAAGAGAAAAGTGTTTCAAATGTACAGTTCCCAAATCAGGTGTGAATTCAAAGGAATTTGTTGCAGTTATTTGTGACGGCATGGTCAAAACATGAATATAAATGTAAATCCTTGTGCATATGGCTCTTTATTTCAGAGGCTGAGTTGAAACTGCCTCTGGTGCCAAAGAGTTTACCTCTGGGGCAGTTAAAGGACTCAGCTCAGGGTTTACTGCCCCTTCCTGCCATATACCAGACAGCAGCTCCACTTCTCAGCTTAAGTTCCTCATCTCAGGCTGCGGAGATGGCCAATGACAGTAAGTCATACACGCGTCTAAAGGCATAGTTCACCCAAAAATTAAAATTTGCTGCTAATTTACTTTTCCTCTGGCCATCCAAGATGTAGATGACTTTTTTTCTTCAGTAGAACAGTAAAGAAGATTTTTTTTTTCATGATGGTGTATCAGGCAACGCAGAATTAGTACCTGTGGCTCCTGACGATATATTGAGGTCTTATGAAGTGAAATGATCGGTCTGTGCAAGAACATTATTTACAGCATTATTACCTGTAATCCAGAGCCTCAGGCAAACGGTCCGGAGTGATGTTCGGTTTGTGAATGAATCATTCTTTTGAGCCTTTTCTTTTTGGTGAACTATTTGTGCCAGTTTACCCAATCGGACTGAAACTTCTGAAAGCGTTTGTGGCTTGAGCAGCACAGATCTACAAGTTACTCAATCAAAACTCACTTTCAGACAGTCACTCCGACTTGAAATGAGCCAAAATACCAGCGCGTATGATACTATGATGCTGGTTTTTGCATTAGACATGCAAAACATTTGCATGACACATCATTATTGGGTGCTTTGGGTATATGTGCCATCATTGCGTGATTATGTAAGTGAACTGGTGAATCAGTTTTTTTGAACTGAAAGAACCAGTTCGCAGAAAAAGACTCGTATTTCCCTGTTGCCTGAGGCTCTGGATTACAGTTGTAAATAATGTTCAGTTTCTTGCACAGATCGTTTCGCTTTTATAAGATCGTCAGAAGCCACGGGTATTAATTTAGTGTTGACTCGTATGTATTTTTTGACTCTCAAAGTGACTGTAGCCATTGACTTTCATTTTATAAATCACAAAGGACCACAGTTTCCAGTAAAAATCTTCTTCTTTTACTGTTCTACTGAAGAGAAAAAGTCCCCTACATCTTGGATGGACTTTCATTCTGGCGTAAGACACTTCATTCAAATCTATTCCCTCTTCAGCTCTGATACTGAGGAATCTGGGACCCCATACGACGCTGGAGGCCATTTTGTCAGCTCTGGCCCCGTTTGCTACTCTCTCACCTTCAAATGTACGGCTCATCAAAGACAAACAGACACAGCTCAACCGAGGGTTTGCTTTCCTGCAGCTCACTACTATTGTGGTAAGACAACGGCAGTACTTGTAAATGGCATCTGCTTCTTCTGTTAGGGCTGTATCACGGCTACAAAACATGTGTAAGACTAACACAAACAGGTATTACATTGTGTGTGTGTTTCAGGAGGCGTCACAGCTGCTTCAGATCCTCCATTCCCTGCAGCCTCCTCTCTCTATCGATGGAAAGCTCATCTCTGTGGAGTTTGCCAAGGGCTCCAAACGGTACGAGTTCATGCTGTTCTTATACTGATCCTGCAGCATTACGCTGACCTCATAGTTGTGTAATAGGAAAAGGAGAATGCTGCTAAGCCACACATGTGAGAAAATGTTTACAGAACTTTTTATGACTTCTCTCTCTGTCTCTCAGTGATGTTTTTCTGACAGATGGCAATCGGGTGAGTGTGGCGACAGTAGCGAGTACAGCTATAGCTGCAGCTCAGTGGGCCGTCACTCAGGTACACACAGCACAGGCAAACTAGGCTTGATTAACAACATAAAGACTCATATGTAGGAAATAATTAACTGTAAGCTGTTGAATGAACATGCATTGTTCAATGTTTCATGGATGTCTTTCTCGGTTGATGATACATTGAGCGATTACATAAAACACATTAGAGACATTTACTGTTTGAATTACATTCGAAAATTGACAGAATTGACAGCTTATTTTGCTTATTATTAGCTTATTGTTTCATCAGCTGAAATCAGCATAGATTATAATATCACAGTTCATCAAAATGAATGTCTTTTCAGCTCAGACCTAGTGTCCACACTGCTGACATGTTTACCTGTTCTTGTTTATCCAAGTTGTGTGCATGAAATGGATACTAATGCAACATCAGAGAAGCACTAATTAATCATCAGCATTCTGGTCAATGATTTTGGCCCAACAAAACAGTTGGCAAAACCAAAAAAATCAGTTTTGGCCAAAAAATTTTGGTTGCTGTAATTTCGGTGCGTTACTACTGTCAACATTACATATATTGATTAAAAAAAATCTTAAATTAGTCTGTTTTTAGATAGATTTTTTTTTTTATAACAAATGAACCTCTAACAGATTTCAGCTTCAGACTTTTGCCGAACATATTGTCTAACACTCAATGTTGAGATATGAACTCCTGCTTCAACACATGCTTTCAAATATGTGGTTATTGTTCCAGACGGCCCAGTTCTCTGCAGCGGCTCAGAGCAGTGATATTAGTGTGCACCAGCAGGGGGCAGCAGCAGCATCTTTGTTTGGGCAGGGGGCCTTGCAGGTTGTCAGTGCAGAGGCGCAAGCCTTTAAAGAGCCAGTGCCTGCTGTACTGACTAGCTACACAACATTAGGTGCTCCTGGAGGAGGAAGAGAGTCTACAGGTATAATCACAGCTTGCTTACATCTGCTGTCAGCCACAAGTCTTGCATTGGAGTAAGTGTGAGTGTGTATTTGATCACAGGAGAAGCAGGTGCTACCTCCATATTGGCATCCCAGACTCAGCTTGTCGCCACGACAACCTTCAAACAGGCCAGTCAGGTAGAGTTCTGTTTTTCCTGCTCATTCATAAGGTGATTTACTGTGTTGCTGTTAAAGTTCTCCGTGAATCATTTTGTGCTTTTCTGAAGCCCTAATTGTCTATCTTTACACTGTCTGTGCGTGTGTCTGTTCAAAGGCCCCGGTGGAAATCATCGGGAAACCTCAGCCTGCTACCCTGAACCAGCCTGCTACACCTGGAACCGCTCTGGAGTGCCAGCAGTACCGTAAGCACACCATGCTCAAAGCATGAAAATCACATGATAGTTCATGACCAATTAATGCAGAAAGCCAATTCCAATGGGTTCACACTCTTTTTCTTGACACTGATTTTATAGTTATTTTAGCTGACCTAATGATTCCTGTGCATGTTCAGTTTCATATGAATGAGGTGCAATTCCTCCATATTTTTTCCCATATGAATTGAGGTGCAGTTGTATTTCCTCTTTCCTGCAGCGGATCCTGACGTCTCCACGTACCAGTACGATGAGAGCTCTGGCTATTACTATGACTCTCTTACAGGCCTCTACTACGACCCAAATTCACAGGTAATGAAGGCATCACGCCACCAGAAGAGTTAATGCAGGGTTACTCAAATCTGGCTCTGGAAGGCCACTGTCCTTCAGCGTTCATCTCCAACCCTTACACAAGAGTTGAACACACCTGAACCAGAGATTGTCTTATTATTGGGAGAAGCGAGGGTCTGTGCTACTTATCACTGGAAAAAGCGTAACAGCTGACTTGGATCACGTGAGGCACCTCAGCCAATCAGCAAATCTTGAAGCCATAGAATATTTTTCTGTATTTGCCCGTTTTAGAATGTGTTCATGTGAGAAGTGCAGTGCAATGCCAACTGAAACAAGAAATAGAACGGATAATAATGCTGTCGTGAAATGCATTCATGTATATAACTTGGGTAAAATTATATTTGTGTAAGACTGAATGAATGAAGCACATTGATGTGTGTGCTCTGGCTCTGGTTGATGTGTGCCCATTCAAGAAATCCCGCCCTTTATGAAGTCATACAAGGCCATTTTTGAAAAAACTTTCCAAAACTTATATGAACCCTGAAGGAGTGTATTTGGCACAGAAATACTCCTTCATACGTCCAACTTGTTTTTTGAGACTGAAGTGAGAAAGCATGGAAAAGCATTCGACCTCCCCCTTAAAAGGTGTTATATCATCATCATACGCAGCAATTACAAGTAATTACATTTCAACTTTATATCTTGAAACTTGTAAGTCATAGAAAGAACATAATTTTATTTTCATTAAACAACATACAATTTAAAATTATTCATGTCCTTTATTCATTAAAATGCATTATATCCAGTGCTTGAAGTGGGCTGGTACGCAGTACCGGCACTTTTATATTTTAGCCTTTAGAGTACCTGCACTTTTTTGTGCGTACCGGCACTTCTGACATGTTGCCGGTACTCAGAGTAAAAGCATCAGGGTCTGGGTGATTATATGATTAGAAAGGACACTATATAAATCACACTACCCAGGCGGGATCACCTCTCATCTCGACCAATCACGTGAATGAATGCGAGCGCAGTGTGTGAGGCGCGAGAGCTTGTCAGGGGTTCAGTAGAACAGTAAAGAAGATTTTTTTTTTCATGATGGTGTATCAGGCAACGCAGAATTAGTACCTGTGGCTCCTGACGATATATTGAGGTCTTATGAAGTGAAATGATCGGTCTGTGCAAGAACATTATTTACAGCATTATTACCTGTAATCCAGAGCCTCAGGCAAACGGTCCGGAGTGATGTTCGGTTTGTGAATGAATCATTCTTTTGAGCCTTTTCTTTTTGGTGAACTATTTGTGCCAGTTTACCCAATCGGACTGAAACTTCTGAAAGCGTTTGTGGCTTGAGCAGCACAGATCTACAAGTTACTCAATCAAAACTCACTTTCAGACAGTCACTCCGACTTGAAATGAGCCAAAATACCAGCGCGTATGATACTATGATGCTGGTTTTTGCATTAGACATGCAAAACATTTGCATGACACATCATTATTGGGTGCTTTGGGTATATGTGCCATCATTGCGTGATTATGTAAGTGAACTGGTGAATCAGTTTTTTTGAACTGAAAGAACCAGTTCGCAGAAAAAGACTCGTATTTCCCTGTTGCCTGAGGCTCTGGATTACAGTTGTAAATAATGTTCAGTTTCTTGCACAGATCGTTTCGCTTTTATAAGATCGTCAGAAGCCACGGGTATTAATTTAGTGTTGACTCGTATGTATTTTTTGACTCTCAAAGTGACTGTAGCCATTGACTTTCATTTTATAAATCACAAAGGACCACAGTTTCCAGTAAAAATCTTCTTCTTTTACTGTTCTACTGAAGAGAAAAAGTCCCCTACATCTTGGATGGACTTTCATTCTGGCGTAAGACACTTCATTCAAATCTATTCCCTCTTCAGCTCTGATACTGAGGAATCTGGGACCCCATACGACGCTGGAGGCCATTTTGTCAGCTCTGGCCCCGTTTGCTACTCTCTCACCTTCAAATGTACGGCTCATCAAAGACAAACAGACACAGCTCAACCGAGGGTTTGCTTTCCTGCAGCTCACTACTATTGTGGTAAGACAACGGCAGTACTTGTAAATGGCATCTGCTTCTTCTGTTAGGGCTGTATCACGGCTACAAAACATGTGTAAGACTAACACAAACAGGTATTACATTGTGTGTGTGTTTCAGGAGGCGTCACAGCTGCTTCAGATCCTCCATTCCCTGCAGCCTCCTCTCTCTATCGATGGAAAGCTCATCTCTGTGGAGTTTGCCAAGGGCTCCAAACGGTACGAGTTCATGCTGTTCTTATACTGATCCTGCAGCATTACGCTGACCTCATAGTTGTGTAATAGGAAAAGGAGAATGCTGCTAAGCCACACATGTGAGAAAATGTTTACAGAACTTTTTATGACTTCTCTCTCTGTCTCTCAGTGATGTTTTTCTGACAGATGGCAATCGGGTGAGTGTGGCGACAGTAGCGAGTACAGCTATAGCTGCAGCTCAGTGGGCCGTCACTCAGGTACACACAGCACAGGCAAACTAGGCTTGATTAACAACATAAAGACTCATATGTAGGAAATAATTAACTGTAAGCTGTTGAATGAACATGCATTGTTCAATGTTTCATGGATGTCTTTCTCGGTTGATGATACATTGAGCGATTACATAAAACACATTAGAGACATTTACTGTTTGAATTACATTCGAAAATTGACAGAATTGACAGCTTATTTTGCTTATTATTAGCTTATTGTTTCATCAGCTGAAATCAGCATAGATTATAATATCACAGTTCATCAAAATGAATGTCTTTTCAGCTCAGACCTAGTGTCCACACTGCTGACATGTTTACCTGTTCTTGTTTATCCAAGTTGTGTGCATGAAATGGATACTAATGCAACATCAGAGAAGCACTAATTAATCATCAGCATTCTGGTCAATGATTTTGGCCCAACAAAACAGTTGGCAAAACCAAAAAAATCAGTTTTGGCCAAAAAATTTTGGTTGCTGTAATTTCGGTGCGTTACTACTGTCAACATTACATATATTGATTAAAAAAAATCTTAAATTAGTCTGTTTTTAGATAGATTTTTTTTTTTATAACAAATGAACCTCTAACAGATTTCAGCTTCAGACTTTTGCCGAACATATTGTCTAACACTCAATGTTGAGATATGAACTCCTGCTTCAACACATGCTTTCAAATATGTGGTTATTGTTCCAGACGGCCCAGTTCTCTGCAGCGGCTCAGAGCAGTGATATTAGTGTGCACCAGCAGGGGGCAGCAGCAGCATCTTTGTTTGGGCAGGGGGCCTTGCAGGTTGTCAGTGCAGAGGCGCAAGCCTTTAAAGAGCCAGTGCCTGCTGTACTGACTAGCTACACAACATTAGGTGCTCCTGGAGGAGGAAGAGAGTCTACAGGTATAATCACAGCTTGCTTACATCTGCTGTCAGCCACAAGTCTTGCATTGGAGTAAGTGTGAGTGTGTATTTGATCACAGGAGAAGCAGGTGCTACCTCCATATTGGCATCCCAGACTCAGCTTGTCGCCACGACAACCTTCAAACAGGCCAGTCAGGTAGAGTTCTGTTTTTCCTGCTCATTCATAAGGTGATTTACTGTGTTGCTGTTAAAGTTCTCCGTGAATCATTTTGTGCTTTTCTGAAGCCCTAATTGTCTATCTTTACACTGTCTGTGCGTGTGTCTGTTCAAAGGCCCCGGTGGAAATCATCGGGAAACCTCAGCCTGCTACCCTGAACCAGCCTGCTACACCTGGAACCGCTCTGGAGTGCCAGCAGTACCGTAAGCACACCATGCTCAAAGCATGAAAATCACATGATAGTTCATGACCAATTAATGCAGAAAGCCAATTCCAATGGGTTCACACTCTTTTTCTTGACACTGATTTTATAGTTATTTTAGCTGACCTAATGATTCCTGTGCATGTTCAGTTTCATATGAATGAGGTGCAATTCCTCCATATTTTTTCCCATATGAATTGAGGTGCAGTTGTATTTCCTCTTTCCTGCAGCGGATCCTGACGTCTCCACGTACCAGTACGATGAGAGCTCTGGCTATTACTATGACTCTCTTACAGGCCTCTACTACGACCCAAATTCACAGGTAATGAAGGCATCACGCCACCAGAAGAGTTAATGCAGGGTTACTCAAATCTGGCTCTGGAAGGCCACTGTCCTTCAGCGTTCATCTCCAACCCTTACACAAGAGTTGAACACACCTGAACCAGAGATTGTCTTATTATTGGGAGAAGCGAGGGTCTGTGCTACTTATCACTGGAAAAAGCGTAACAGCTGACTTGGATCACGTGAGGCACCTCAGCCAATCAGCAAATCTTGAAGCCATAGAATATTTTTCTGTATTTGCCCGTGTGTTCATGTGTTCATGTGAGAAGTGCAGTGCAATGCCAACTGAAACAAGAAATAGAACGGATAATAATGCTGTCGTGTCATGTATATATGTATATAACTTGGGTAAAATTATATTTGTGTAAGACTGAATGAATGAAGCACATTGATGTGTGTGCTCTGGCTCTGGTTGATGTGTGCCCATTCAAGAAATCCCGCCCTTTATGAAGTCATACAAGGCCATTTTTGAAAAAACTTTCCAAAACTTATATGAACCCTGAAGGAGTGTATTTGGCACAGAAATACTCCTTCATACGTCCAACTTGTTTTTTGAGACTGAAGTGAGAAAGCATGGAAAAGCATTCGACCTCCCCCTTAAAAGGTGTTATATCATCATCATACGCAGCAATTACAAGTAATTACATTTCAACTTTATATCTTGAAACTTGTAAGTCATAGAAAGAACATAATTTTATTTTCATTAAACAACATACAATTTAAAATTATTCATGTCCTTTATTCATTAAAATGCATTATATCCAGTGCTTGAAGTGGGCTGGTACGCAGTACCGGCACTTTTATATTTTAGCCTTTAGAGTACCTGCACTTTTTTGTGCGTACCGGCACTTCTGACATGTTGCCGGTACTCAGAGTAAAAGCATCAGGGTCTGGGTGATTATATGATTAGAAAGGACACTATATAAATCACACTACCCAGGCGGGATCACCTCTCATCTCGACCAATCACGTGAATGAATGCGAGCGCAGTGTGTGAGGCGCGAGAGCTTGTCAGGGGAGGCGCGCAGAGTAGTGGAATAATAATTCATTATTATTTACAAATTTGAGTAAGTACTTTATAACGAAAATAATATCTTAAAATGAAAAGAAGCAGGCTTTTGCGATCGCATCATTTTAAACCAGTAAACTCCTGGAAAGTCCAAGGATCCAGTAAACAAATTCAAACAGTAAGTTCAAAACAGCACTAATGCAGAGAAAACACGGCCGATTTCATCGACGATTGCGGATAGAATAGGGACTTACGTCCAGATGTCAGTAAAATTATTATTTTCAGCGTGTAGTTGGCTTCAATCAAGAGTGTTTTATAATGAATGCTGAATATGCGGTGGTCAGAGATTTAGCGATTCTGAATGGATCCGTATAGTAGTAAAGCCAGGCGATTTAGTGGTCTTTGGCGTCTCCCTGTGGCCCTGTTTGGTATCGCAGCTTGACTTGTGCTAATTTGTATTGAAAACTTTTATCTAATTATTGATTGATTGCTTGTGGGAGTATAAATAGATTGTGAATTATTAAGAAGAACTTATTTATTTAATATAAATAAATAAATGAGAGGGGTTTGGGGGTGAGTACCGGCACTTCTTTTGGCGCTTTTCCACTGCGTGGTACAACTCTGCTCGGCACGGCTCAGTACGGCACGGTTCGGCTTGGTTTGCGTTTCCACTGCAGCTCAGTACCGCTTTAGAGTGGGCGGGATTATTCACATGTCGTTATAGTTGTGCCACCTCTGCCACTGCAAACTCCAAACTGCAAAAAAACTTTTTCATTCCGCGTCGCCCCATCAAGCTCTCGCTGGATCCGCTCCTCTGCTATCAACGAGAGGAACGTCTGTTCTTCCGCAACAGACAACAAAACTTTTTGGTTGTTAAAAAGTGTTCAAAACAGTTGTGTTCGATCCTTCGCTGGCTGTGCTGATTTAAATCTTGCGGTTCTGTTGTGTTTGTGTCGCAGTTCAGTGACGCAGGTAGTGACGATTCTCTCCGGCCAATCCGTGATCAGCAGAGTTTACACGTCACATTTTGGCAATGGTACGGTTCACTTGGAACCCCAACCGAGGTGGTACTAAAAAAAGTACCAGGTACTGTACCCAGTGGAAAACCCCCCCAAAAGTGAACCGTACCAAGCCGTACCATGCAGTGGAAAAGCGCCATTTGGTTCCACTTCAAGCACTGGTTATATCAACATAGGGCACATGGCAGTCAGTCATTACAATTCAAGTCAAATTTCAGGTAAAACCTGAAAACCAGAGAAAGAAAAAATGTATATGTTAGACACAATATTACACAACATCTATTATTAAATAGTAATGCGACACATATTTGCTGGTAATAATGCCGTAAATGAGTCCTACCTGTGGTGACATTCCCTACTCTGCCTTCTCTTAAAAAAATTTTGATTTGTGAAATGATAAGCTATTTGCTCGAAGCATGTTTTTGCTTTTTGTTTTGTTTTTATTGTTACCTTATTTTATGGTGTTTGATTTTCATTTATTTAGTATTTTCGCATATGGCTTAATCTTATGGCTATTTGCTCACAAAAGCTGTTTATTCAGCGTAGTGAAGCCTCTCCTCCATTGACATCCATTCAAAAAATCGGCCTCTGGAATCCTTCCCTCCACACCTCCAAAGCCACAGCATTAGCATTAGCCGTTATGCTTTTTTTGGCTCGCAGGCTTGCCATCTAATGACTTTGCCTGAATCAGTCAATGTCTTCGGGATTAGCAGAAACTTCCAGGCAGGTGTGTTGGAGCTGAATTCTGCTGGACACTGACCCTTCAGGAGTAGGATTTAACTCGAGGTCTCTCAAATCCAGCTCTGAAGGACCACTGTGCTGAGGAGTTTTGTAACTCTGAAGACCTTAAATAGCTTGCTCAGGAGTCTTTGATTGGTTTTGACGTATTTGCTTGGAAGTTTCTGGTAATCCCGAAGACCTTGAATAGCTGGTTAAGGTGTGTTTAATTGGGGTTGGAGCTAAAGCCTGCCGGACAGTGACTTAAATGAGCAGCTAATTACAGCTTCTTATACAAGCATACTGATACTGATAATGTCGCTGTTTGTTTTTGTGATGTTCTTCTAGTACTACTTTAATCCCCATACACAGCAGTACATGTACTGGGATGGGGAAAGACACACGTATGTTCCTGCCTCGTCACAGTCGTCCGATGACGCCACAGGAGCGACCTCTGACCCTACAGGTGCTCCCAACAGCAGCAAGGACAAGAAGGACAAGCCCAAGAATAAGACCGCACAGCAGGTACACCCTCAGACTGTGGCAGAAATCAGAAAGACTCGCTGTTTGTGAATTATTTTGCACGTTCAGGTGTACTGATGTGTCTCGGAGGGTGAGTTTTTGAAGGGACGTCATTTAAATTGAGTATCTCTTCCTGCTGTACCTGTACGTTTCTTCAGATTGCCAAAGACATGGAGCGGTGGGCCAAAAGTCTGAATAGGCAGAAGGAGAATGGGCGAGGATCCTCCTCTTCCTCGCTGAGCACAAACGCTCGACTGATGGTACAGGGGAGACCCGATGACAGGCGGGAATCTGCCAGTGCTGATGCAGGCTACGCTGTCCTGGAGATGAAGGTTGGGTTTTTACACGTCTGACTGATGCCCTACTCTTAAAATGCCACCTTTTTCATTGGTCTGATGGGGTTTTTTTTTCACAGGGTGCCTTGCTGGAGAGACCTCAGATTCTGATGGAACAGATCAAACATCCAGAAGAAAGAGAAGTGTGTTTTGCTTTTTTTCACTTTTTTTTTTTGTTTGTTTTGTTTTCATTGTTATGTTATGGTGTTTGGTTTTTGTTTTATTTTGTTTCATATTTTTGTTGTTTTGATATGCTGCATTATGGTTTTTATTTTTTTTATTTTGATTGGCTTTTGGTCTTTATTATTTTAAGTTTTTAACATATACAAAGCATGGAATTTGAACAGAGCAACATCAGGTTCTGATGCAACAGACCAAGTTTACAGAAGAAAGAGAAGTGTGTTTTGCTTTTTGTTTTGTTTTTATTGTTACCTTATTTTATGGTGTTTGATTTTCATTTATTTTGGATTTTCGGATATGGCTTAATTATTTTTATTTTTTTGTTTTGTTTTGCTGTTTTTTTTATATGTATATTTTAAATTTTTAACATGCAAAGCAAATAACATAAAGAGAGCAACGTCAGGTACTGATGGAACAGATCAAACATCCAAGTTTAACCTATTTTATAGGTAATAGGTTTATTACCCTATGACATGGTTTTTGGTTTTACAGTGAGTATAGAAAAGAACCAGCCCCCTTTAAATAATCAAATTTTGTTGCTTTACAGCCTGAAATGAAGACAGACACAGTTTTTGTTTTATCCAGCTGTATTTACTCAGTGCAACTTATAACATCCAATTGAAATATATAACAAAAACATGTCAGAAAAAAATAAAATAATAAAATAAACAGAATCACTGAGTTAGAAAAAGGATCACCTTCCTCCTAAAAATGACTAGTAAACTCAATCATGTGTAGCTCATCATCTTCTCAATGACACACAGAGCCATCTGACTTTCAACTGTGATCAGCTGTGCTCATTGTGATCAGCTCAGCATGAAAAGAGCTTTCCTGCAGCATTTCAGTCCTTGGTAGTGCAACTGAAGCAAACAATCAGCTATGGGTGGCAAGGCACTGTCAGAAGATCTCTGGGATAAAGGTGTGGACAGGCACAAGTCAGGAGATGAAGACAAAAACATTTCAAAGGAATTATCAATGCCTAGAAGCACAGTGAAGTCTGTTATTAAGAAGTGGAAGGTATTTGGTACAACACAGACCCTCCCTGGATCAGGATGTCGCCCCAAACTGGATGAAAGAGCCGGAGGAAACTGCTCAGAGAGGCGACCGAGAGGCCTACAGCGACTCTGAAGCAGCTGCAGGAATTTATGACAAAGAGTGGTCATTGTGTGCATGTGACAACAATATCATAAATTCTCCACAAAAGTGGCTTGTATGGAAAAATGCCACTCCTCAAGGAAGGCCACATGCAGTCACGACTGAGCTTTGCCAAAATGCACCTTAAAGATTCTGAGGCAGATGAGACTAAAACTGAATTATTTGGCCTCAGCACCAAACGATGTGTCTGGCGGAAATCCAATACAGCTCAGCATCCAAATAACAGCATTCCTCCAGTAAAGCATGAGGTGGTGATATCCTGTTATGAGGTGTTTCTCTGCAGCAGGGACTGGAGCACTGGTCAATGGGAAGAAGGTTTACCTTCCAACATGACAAAGACCCAAAGCACACAGCAAAACTGAGCACACAGTGGTCGAAGAAGAAAAAGGCGAATGTCTTGCATGGCCTCGTCAGAGTCCAGACTTAAACACCACTGAAAATCTGTGGAATAACTTGAAGACTGCAGTCCACAAACACTCACCATCACATTTAACTGAACTTGTGCAGTTCTGAGAAGAAGAGTGTGCAAATATTGCAAAGTCTAGATGTGCAAAGTTAGTAGACAAATCCCAACAGACTAAAGGCTGTAATTAAAACAAAACTGGTTCAACAAAATACTGACACAAGGAGGCGATCCTTTGTCCGTCTTCATTTCAGGCTGCAAAGATTATTATTATTATTATTCAGGCTGATTATTTTATACGGGGGTGATTCTTTTCTATATCCGCTGTCATTTAATTTAATTTTGTATTTTGTTTCATCTTACTTTACATTCTTTACAATTTTTTTTTACACTATGGCTTTTTGTTTTTTATATTTTAAGTTTTTAACATTATATACAAAGCAATAAATATAAGCAGAGCAACAATAATGGCAAAATATTGTTAATAAAACAAAGACCAAAAAAGTGTTTAAAGGGGTCATATGACGTTGCTAAAAAATAACGTTATTTGGTGTAATAAATGTGTTTGTGGTTTAAGGTTAAAAAAGCACATTATTTTCCACATACTGTACATTATGGTTTCTCCTCTATGCCCCGCCTTTCTGAAACGCGTCGATTTTTACAAAGCTCATCAGTCTGAAAAATGTTTTTATAAACATAAAACCATGTCTGCATTTGTGATCGGAGAAATGACAAACAACAAGTGCTACTCTACACTGCCCAAAAACTCATGTTTGAATCATCAGTGGCAAATTCTTTAAATACAAAAAAACATACTTACAGTCTGTGAGTCAGAACAGCCGGCATTGTAGTCTACTCTCCCAGGATCAGGAAACAGTCCTCCATAAAATGTGCTGCACACATCTGAATATTTGGGTTGAACATGTTTGACAGAAAACAGGCACTAAAATGTCATTCAGTGTAACAATATTTATATACCAAAAAATCTTGTAAGGCATATTTAAAACATGAATCATTTGATGACATTAAAAGACTATTTAAGCATCACAGTGCAGCCCTCAAATATCAATTAACTTTCATTTTTAAATCGTTATACTTTGCTAATGCCCGTCGTGTCCTCTTTTGGAAGACCAAACAAAGTAGTTTCGCTTTCACAACGAAACACACAGCGCCTTCACGACATGGCGGCAGCAACAACAATACTACAGCGAGAATAAAAGTTACACCTTCTTTCTTTGCGTGAACATTTGGGCGGCGTTATGCAAATCTTCCCACATCGTGACGTAGATATGTGGGGGCGTGTTAGAACGAGCCGTTTTAGGAGGGCGTGGCAGAGTCTTAACTTTTATAAAGAATATCTCTTTGGGTTTGAGACTTTAGTCTTTGCAACTTCAGGGATCTTATCTATTCACGAACAGCTTGTAACACTTCAAAGAGAAAGGAAAACTTGAAATCGCATCATATGACCCCTTTAACGCAAGCAAAGCATAGATAAGGCTTTGTTTTTTACTTGTATTTTTTACCATGGCACTCACCACTTGCATCTATCATGTTGTACCCTGTTAAACCTGGCCTATTATTGGCACTGCTGTGTTTTAAAAACCTATTTTTCTGTCTGCTGGTCTTGTCTCTCAGCAGAGTCCTCCTCAGGGTCTGGTGGCAGGCTACAGTGGAGAGACCGACAGTGAGGAGGAGGCCGGAGAGCGAGAGGAGAGACTGACAGACTGGTCGAAACTGGCCTGTCTGCTGTGCAGGAGACAGTTCCCCAGTAAAGAGGCTCTGATCAGACATCAGCAGCTCTCTGAGCTACACCGAGTGAGTCATGCACGTCACAGGATGCCTTGAGATCTGCCAGCTTGAGCCATGCCACTTCTGATTGTTCTTATAGACCTTATTCAGAGCAGTACCTTGACGGGTATGAAAACGAGGCTGTGAGGGATAGACTTGCCGAGCTTTCAATGGTTTCCGCTGTAAAAAGTTTTATACAGTCCCTAGATCCTTTATAATTTTCCACAGCTCATGTTGTCTGGAGTTCTTTGTCTATTAATTTTCTGGAAAGATATTTTTGCAGTTTCATCAGCAGAACAATCCATAAACGCATTTAATAACCCACTAAAGAGACGTACAGGGTTTGTACGGTCATGAAAAACCTGGAAAAGTCATGGAATTTTAAAACCCCAATTTCCAGGCCTGGAAAAGTTTTGGAAAAATAAATAAACCCAGAAAGTTTTGGAAAAGTCATTGAAAGCTATTTCACAAAACACTGTATAATAGAATTGTGATTAATCAGGTCCTGAATATCGGTGCGGGAAAAAAGCTTTGCTAGTAAGTGTGCTATGCATTTGCATGTCTTGTATGACATGACGGTCTATGCAGAAATGACAGACAGCAGCTGTCTGTGTTGACTTGCACAGTAGATTAGACTTTTGTGATTATCTTGACGAAAAGGCACAGCAGATGATTATTGTTTACCTATATGAATTTTTATTAACCTGATTTGCCGTGTATATGTATCATATTAGACTATATAAGCTGTATAAAATTAAATAAGCTGGTGTACAGTTTTTTTTTTTGTGAATTTAAGGTGGAAAGAGTGAATTTGTGCGTGTATGTCCTTATGAGCACTAAGTGCCATTATGTTTTTTGTTGTTGTTTATGCATATATATTTATATATATATGTATGTATGTGTGTATATATATATATATATATAATGAAGTCATGTAAATGATTTTCAAATTCTAATTTTGTTTAAATGGCATCAGAAAAGGCTGAAATACCATTTTTTTGATAAATTTGTTTCTAAAAAAAATTGTTGCTAATGAAAAATACTGTATACCGTACATACGAAATGTACATATGTCTCAATACAGTACACAAAACCTCAATACACAAAATACACACAAAACCTGTCAAGAACGTGTCTGGGTCTTATTTACCCCAAATCAAAATTAAATCTGATTTAATTTACTGATTTACTAAATTGTATTTAATTATACAAAAAGATTGAGTTTATTTTTAGGTTGATTAAGAGTTTTCGTATTGTATTGTGACATTATTTTCATTCCAGTTAAGCATTTTATGTGTAAAAAAAAAGAGAGATGTTGCAGTCCATAACAATATAATATTTTTTTTGAAAAAGTGTCTTAAATAGCTGAAAATCATGATTTCTTGTTGTCCGAATTAGTCAGTGCATTTTTTCCATCATGTATCATTGTGTAATCAAAATATTTTATTGTACTTTTCTTTTGGTAATATTTCATTCATTTTATTTATAAAAACCCTAAAGAGTCATTTTCGTAATTCTACAACATTATAAAAAAAAAACTTTTTTCTTTTAAAAATGTGTGTCCGTAAATCTTGTCAACTCTGTTACCGCACCATACTTTGCCTTTAAATGAGTGGAATTATCTCCCACAACTATGTACATACAAGAAATTATGTCACGTTCCCTCCCTGTTAAGATCTGAAGCACTGAAAAGTCTATGGGCTCTCTCTAAGAAAATATTTTAATCTAAAAAGCTCTTACACCAAGAGTTATTTTATAAAATGTCAAATCTGTTACCACAATATCAAAAGGAAAACAGATTTTTTCATTGATCACACTTTGTGTTATTTAAAAGTCTTTTAATCATGATTTCATTAGTGCCATGTGCTCTTAGCATTTATGCTCGCAAGTGGAGTTTTTGGCAAAAAAAAAAAAAGAAAATTGTCAATTCTGTTACCGTCAAACTCTGTTACCAAGGTAGAGTAACAATGCTGACAGTGCAGTAACAGAGTTGACAGTCCATCAGACAATTCTGTTTCTTAAAGGGTCAACTCTGTTTATGAACTATTTTCACAAAAAATGTATTTGTTGTTTAAAATCTAATAAACATTATTGATTTATTTTTGCACCCTTATATTTCAACATTTCTTTTTTTAACTGGATATTGTATATAATACATTTTCAGATGAAAAATATTTGCTCCAAGTGGACGATTCTGTGAAGACATAGGTATTTTTTTAAATATTTGCTCCAAGTGGACGGTTCTGTGAAGACATAGGTATTTTTTTATTTATTTTTAAGGTACGCATAGGTGAAATATTATCTCAGTTTCAAGTGATGGAATGACAGGACTGTTTGTCTAATGAAACAAGAAGGATTTTCCTGTTATGATTTATTGTTATTTCTACACATTGGCTAATTTGTCCATAACAGAGTTGACAAACAATACCATAAAGACATCAGTTTTTTCATTAAAAGTAAAGAAAAAGGAAGTAACTTGTGTTTGGCAAGCACTGAATTATTAAAATGAAATATGTTTTCAATAAGAAAAATCTGTTAGTGAAAAGTTTTTTTTCTTAACTTTCTGCAATGCCAAATGTATCCAATTATAGAATCAGTGTGCATTGAATTTATTTAATACACGAGTTTCACAATTTGAGTTGAATTACTGAAATAAATGAACTTTTCCACAACATTCTAATTTATTGAGATTCACCTGTATATACTGTATATATATATTATTTATTTATTTTTATTTTTTTGCTGTGAAATATGACTGTGAGACTGACCCATGCAGATATTTGTGATCCAGTGACCCCGTGACCTTCTGGGACTTTTGCAATGACAGAATTTGTCCCTCAGCCACCAATATGTGTGTCGAAAGAATGCATTTGCACAAATCAGCTTCCTGTTTTGACATCAGTTTGGTCGTTCTGTCATATTATCTACAAGCCACAGTACACAATAATTTAGGGTCTCCAGTCCCACATGCATATTAAAATAATAATAAATAAAAATTATACAGTACACTAATACAGTAAAAGTTTGGAAACACTATGATTTTTAATGAAGTCTATTATGCTCACCAATGCTGAAAAACACTAATATTGTGAAATATTATTACAATTTAAAATGACTGTTTTCTATTTTAATATATTTTAAATTGTAATTTATTGCTGTGATCAAAGCTGAATTTTCAGCATCATTCCTCCAGTCTTCAGAGTCACATGATCCTTCAGAAATCACTCTAATATGCTGATGATATACTACTATTAAAATGTGTGGGGTATGTGTGTTAAATAGAAACTAATACTTTCATTCATTATTATGCATTAAATTGAACAAAAGTGACAGAAAAAACATGTATAATGTAACAAAAGTTTCTATTTCAAGTAAATGCTGTTCTCTTGAGCTTTTCATCAGAGAATTCATCAGACGAAATATTACGCAGCAAAAAATTAATCGTGCATCAAATCAGCATATTATACTGATTTCTGAAGGATCATGTGACACTGAAGACTGGAGTAATGATGCTGAAAATACAGCTTCAAAATTCATAGACTTCATTAAATACATATATATATATTGATAGATTCATAGCCTCTTTCTTGGTATCCCAGTGCATCTCAGGCTGCATGTCTTAGATTTTTGTGGTGAGGCTGTTGATTAGTTTTATTACTCAATGAAATAGCTGTGCTGCATTCACCGCATAAGCTGGTGTGTTCAAGAGCTAACATGGCAGAGATTCTTGTTAGGACAAGACTGCTGCAGCAAAAAGACTGTTGAGATCATTATATTACCAGCCATGCAGCAAATGAACCTGCTACATACAAACATACGGTTGGGCATGGCACTATTAACCATAGCAAGTGAAGTCTTGCTGGCTGTCAAACTAGAATGAATAATAAAAAAGTTGTTGGATTAAGCGTCCTTGGAAAAGCATCTTAGATAATGGCCAATATAAGCAAAGGCAGGTAGGAAATGCCTGTCATACACGCTTGTTCAGTTTTCCTCCGTCCTGAAGGGAGCAACACAAATAGCCGCACAGACGAGTCCGAACACTTCCTGTCAGCTCTTTTCTTTAGGAATCGATTGACTCGGTGTTGCCTCTGTGACTACAGCAGCACAGACTGAGAGGATCTAATACAGGGGTGCCCAAACTGGGTCCTGGAGGGCCGGTGTCCTGCAGAGTTTAGCGCCAACTTGCCTCAACACACCTGCCGGGAAGTTCCTAGTATGCCTAGTAAGAGCTTGATTAGCTGCTTCAGGTGTGTTTAATTGGAGTTGGAGCTAAACTCAGCGGGACACCGGCCCTCCAGGACCGAGTTTGGACAGCCCTGATCTAATATGAGACACTGATGTAAATACACACCTCGTTTTAATTCACATCCCGCTGGAAAACGAGAGACTACTGATTCAAGGAACGAACAGTTCATGGTTTCCACTGAAAGGTCAAACCGTACACTTGAAAAAAACACTAAACGACTTTCTAAAACGTGTGCTTTTACATCACATGCTTCTAAGCCACAAATACAGACATTACAGGAAATACATCAGATTGACACATTCACAGCAGGAGATCTGGGTGTTCCTACATGGCACATGGGCAATTCGTTCATGAGGCTTAAAGGAATGGTTCAGACTCAAAACAGGCTGAGTTTGATCTGCGACTGCTATAAAAAGAATTCAGTAAAAACCTTACAATGGATGTATATGGAACAAGATGCTGCACTGGGATAAACTGAAAAAACCCCAAAAGCATTTCAGAATTTGAAAGTATCGCCATAAAAATAATACATCAAGACTACAAGACTAGTGGGATAAAAATGTAGAAACACTACAATAATTACCGTATTGGCCCGAATATAAGATGACCCTGATTATAAGACGACCCACCCTTTTTTCAGATGTACCTTTTGGAAAAAGGCTTTTAAAAACCCAAATCTTGTTTTTTCTCAGTAAAACTCATTTTGCCTTCAACTATTTTCATATTGCATATTTTTCCTATTTTAATTTTTGTTTTGAAAGTATGGTAAAAACTGGTCAAATGTACCAACAATCACATTTAAAAAATATACACTTTTTGATATACCATTAAAAAATAAAAACAGGTAGCCCATCTGAATTAGGACATTTAGGCTATCCATCTAATAGTAGCCTACCAAACTCTTATTAACAGTAGAAGTTAAATCTTACTGTAGTCTTCTGGGTACTGTCTTACGTTTAAAATCACAAAGAGAGTTTGGTCCCATCAGGCTAACGTGAACATTGTCTTATATTCGGGTCAATACGGATTAGTATTAAGAATGAGCAATTCATTTGTTACAGTATTGATTAA